GTCAGGAGAACAGGATGCCAGCAGTGCCGGGGCCTCAGTGAGCCGCACCTGGGTCTAGGCTGATGCCCGGGGAGGGGACAACAGCCGGATTCAGGGGCCTGTGCCAGCCCTCTCCTCTGTAAGACGTAGGCTTCTAAACCTCTTCCCAACACAGCCTGGTCCAAAACTCACCCAGGACCATGGGGCCCCGGAATCTCAGCCCTCTGCCCTGCTACCCTGCCCAGGAAAATCACAAGCAGTTGCTCAGGCCAGGCAGAGCCAGTAGGATGACGAGGTCTTTCTAGACTTCAGAGGAGGAAGGTTTGCCCTGCACTTCCAGCCTGGAGGGCCAAGGAGGAGGCCTGGGTCAGCCAGAGGAAAACCCAGGCAGAGGTGAGAGCCAGCTAGAGCAGGGCAGGAGAGCTAATTCTCTCCTCGTTTCTGTTTCTCTGTCTCTCTCTGGAGTGTACACACACTCTCTGGCCATTAAAAACCAACCAAACGAAAAAGACAGAACACAGTGATAAATCTGACTTCGGACTGGCTGACTGCCAGTACCTGGGTGGCACCGATGAGGAACAGCTCAGGGGTAGAGTACTGGGCAGGCAGAGGGGAGCTCAGATGCGGAACTTGGGTCTCCCACAAATAGAAGGGGCCTAAAGCCATCAAAGAGAGGGTAGAAATGGTGCTTGACTGAGTGGACTTGGGGGATGGGGCCCTGGGGGGCAGCTCTGACTACACAGTGCTCCCTCCCACAGAGACTGTGCCGTCCCCAGTGCAGGCACTGAGTTATTGATGAGAAGAGAGTCAGGATCTGGGACCACACTGAACAGAAGAGAGGGGAGAGGAAAACCCTGAAGGCAGAGGAGGGGTGGCAGCGAGTGGGATCAAGGAGGCCGGGGCTTGCTTGTAGATGCTCAGTGCTGTCATGGGGGTGTAGGGTCAGGCACAAAGCTGGCAGGCCCAGGAGTCAGGAGATCATGGGGCTCTGAGAGCCAGCCTGGCATCTGCTGATGGAAAATCCTAGGCCCACCAGCCGAGTCAGGCCTGCCGTGGCTGACAGTCATTGAGCAGACTGGGGTCTCTAAGCTATCTTGGTGGTTTGTGGGGATGTGCTGCTCTGGGTTCCCAAAGCCCCAGGGAGGCCTTTCATTGCTAGATCTTGGGATGCGGAAGCTGACCACACGGCAGCTCCCCCACCACCCCGCACCTGTCCGTGCTGGGTCTAGGCCGCATGCTTGCCTAGCCTCTTTAGTCTCTCAGATTCCCCTTACTGCATGGGTCACCTATGATGGGACCTAGGATTTAGGCTTTCTGGGGGAGGTTCAGGCTCGGACCAGACTTAGAAGTGACAGAGCCCTTCAGCAAGTTGGCCATAGGGTCAGCAGCAGGGGGATGTGGATGATGGTGTACTACCTCCCCCACCATGGAGGCACGGATCAGTACCCACAGCCATGGCGATGTCCAAAGGGAAAGGCCAGCACCCTGGGGAGTGGGAGCTGATAGCACAGCCTCCTCGGGTCCACGGAGGGGCACTGGTGGCCTGAGCAGTGCCTGAGTCATCCTTGCAGCCTCTGGGCCTGGAACATCCAGTTCCTGCTGGTGGACAGGAGCTTATCTGGGCCATCCGCCTGCCCGCCGGGGTGTGATGTGATCTCCTCCAGGAGACTGTTTGCCTGTGGCTCCAGGGCCCTCAGACCTGGGCTGGGAAGGGTGAGGAGAGCACCTGGGATCCAGGGCGTCCTAGACCAAAGCATGAGACAAAGGTCTGAGAAGTAGAGCGTGGACCCTGACTTCTGTTTTAGCAACCTCCATCACTGGTGAGCCTCTGAACTGCTGCCTCCTTCCAAAGGGCACCTGTACTTCACCCCAGAGCTCGGACATTTCTCTCTCTCTCTCTTTTTAAAGAGTGCATGTACTCACCAGAGAGAGCAGAAAGAGACAGACAGGAAGAAAGAAAGAAGGAAGGAAGGAAGGAAGGAAGGAAAGAAAGAAAGAAAGGCCAGTAGTTAGCATAATGGCTATGTCGCTGAACTCCCATGTAGTCGACTGTGGTTCGAGTCCCAGACCCGGTGGCTTAAACTCATGCCAGGTGCGTGTGCGTGTGTGTCCAAGATCCCAAGAGGAGAATGGAGGAGAAGGGATTGCAGCGTGACCATCCCCCCTGGGGGGTGATTTCTCGCTTTCTGTCTCTCTGTCTCTCTCTGTCTGGCTGGCGAGCACACACGCCCTATAGCAAAAACCTCTCCCCTCTCCCCCCCAAAAAAAGAAAGAAAGAGAGAAACCACCCCTCAAGTAGGTGTGGTTATGCCACAATCCCTTCTCCTCCACCCCATCAGGGTTTTTGAGCCCTGATGCACACACACACAGCATGTTTTCAAGCCACCGGGGCTGGGATTTGAACTACAATTGGCCATGTGGGACCTGACTCCTTAACCACTAGGCTACTGGACCAGCCTAGCTGAGATGATTCTCTGAGATCAGGAAGGCCAGGCCATGGCCAGAACTGAGGCTTGCTGTGGATAGGGAGTCCGACACCATGGAGAGGCAGGGGACTTGCAGCACAGAAAGGACACCTTGTTCAATGTGGTTTCTCAGACATTTTCGGCAGCAGAGCTTAAATCGTACTCAGAAGCTCAATGACCCAAACTGGGGAAAGCTGAGTCAGTCTGATTGCAGAGGGGTTAGGGGTAGGCCTGAGGCCGATGCATCGATGCCATCCTCCCTGCCCACCCATTGCAGCCATGGAAGTGTCCTCGGCTAACCCCTAGGACTCTAGGTCTCACAGTGAAAAACGGCGTGTTGATGTAGATCTCTCAATATTGTGTATTTGGCCTGCCCATTTTCCAGGTAGGTACGCTGAATCGTGGGGAGGAAAAGTGACTTCTGCAAGGTCATTCGTGGCACAGCTAGGGACATAAACTCAGGTTCCTGCATCCCAGCCTGGTCCCTCCCAGCTGCTCGGGAGGGCTCTCTCCTCCTGCCTGCTGATTGGCTCCCAAGAGCTCTGTTTCAAAGAATAATTTTATTGTCCCAATTATGTATTTCAATATTCTAAGCCACCTTACATCTGCTCTGGAAGCAGGCAGAATAAACAGCATAAATGCACATATAAAATCATTACGCTTCCTTTTGGTTCAATTCTGGTCTCTGCTCCCTGGGGGAGGAGATAAAAGATGGTGGATCTGGCCCTGCCCTGAAGAGCTCACGGTTGGGTGGTGGTTGGGGGAGAGGGTGGTAGCTGTGGCCCTACCTTCAGGAACTGCGGGCAAGTTGAGAAGCAGAGCTGGCACCCCAGTGTGCCAGGTTGGGGGGCATTCAAGTTCGCTTCAGGAAAGAGGCAGAGCCCTCATCTCCTGTGCCTGGTGTGGTGTGGAGGATGGCCTGACCTTCGGCACATTTGCTAGCCCCTCTGTGCCTCAGTTTCCACACTTGCAACGTGGAGATGACAAAAGCTCTAACTTCAGGGTTGTGAAATAGATCACGTGTTCATTCATGCCAGACACTCAGCACTGCACCTGGGACGTGGCCAATATTCCAGAACATTAGCTGAAGTGGGAGGTCTGCCCTGGAGGGGAGCTGCGGTGTGAGCGCTCTCCTGGGGCAGCCTTCCTCCTAAGGTAGAGTCACCAGGACTCTGGTCGAATGGGGCGGCCTACTGCAGAGAAAGGAGCCCTGGCCCAGGAGACAAGATGCTTGCAGCCTGCATTCTCATTTTGCCGTGGAGGCCCTCGGGCAGGTCTGCATCTTCTCCAAGCGTCAGTTTTTGCACCTGTGAGGTGGGCGGCACATTCCCGATCACTGCACTGCTGGGAAAGGGAGATCAAATACACGCGTAACCTGCTTATCACTTGGCCTGGCACGGGGCAGGCATTCCGGGAACATTCGTTTCCTTCCCTCTGAGGAGAGGCGAAAGGGCCCCGGGTAGAGAATCAAGATGAGGATCCCCTGTAGAGTCTGGGATAAGACAGAGGCAGCAGCACCAGCAGCCAACAGAGACGGAAGCAGGGGGAGAGACGAGGCTGGGGCAGAGGAAGCCGCTGTTTCCATTCCCTCTGCTTGTTTCCAGGACATGAGCTGTGTCTGGTCCCTGGGCTGGGCCCTGGGACGGCCAGACATGGCTGTTATCATCTTGTCTGCAGCGGCTCCCAGGCTGGAAGAGAGAATAGGGTGAAGACACCCCCTCAGATGAACACCATGCCTGGCGGTGGAGGTATGAGAGGCTCGCCCGGGAGGTGAGGGCACCTTTAGCTGGGAGGGTTGGGGTTGGTTTTGTTTCGCTTTATTTGGGGGCACGGTTAGAAGGTTAGCTGAGGCGGAAGCATTGCAGACATGTCAGCCAGTTGGAAGGGTGGCCCTGCAGAGGGAACTCCAGCAAAGACGGGGCAGATCCTGAGGGAAACAAAGGTCTTAGTCGTAAAGTTTTCTTCCCAGACTCAGGAAGGCTGATCTGCAGCTCAAATGTATCTTTTTTTTTTTTTTTTTTTGAGAAGTTTTGCTATAGGGCACCTGTGCTCACCAGAAAGACAGAGAGAGACAGAGAGCGAGAAATCACCCCCCGGGGGGATGGCCACGCCGCAATCCCTTCTTCTCCATTCTCCTTTTGGGATCTTGGGCATGCACGCACACACGCCC